AGTGATAAAATCCGTGATTTGCCGCCACCTGCTGGCGGTTTCAGTTTCTTTTTTAGGTATAATTGCAGTTATTTAAATAATTTAATATTTCTGTATTCAAAATTTTATATTTAAAACATTAATATCCACATGAATTTATGAATTTAATTGCACTCATGCCACCTCTGAGCCTCATTAAACGTCTTAAAATGTACCTACAAGCCACTTTTGTGTTCTTTTTGTGCCACCTCTGTAGTACAAATTAATTTTTAATTAATACTAATTTCATCTTATTTGTCTTATTTGTCTTATTCTACTTCTTATTATATTGTTTTAAATAGACATTTTAAAAAGCTAATATTTTGAATTTATTCTACTTCTTATTATATTGTTTTAAATAGACATTTTAAAAAGCTAATAAACATACATTTTTGAATTTGACATAGATTAAAATGATGCCATTACAAAGGTAAAAAGAAAATACCCCTGTAAGTCACTTTAAGGAGTCAAATGTCACCTCGTATTAGGAAGGCACATTTTTTATCATAATTTTTGATTATTGATCAGAAGGTGCTCCTAATTTTTTTAAATTAGGAGGACAAGCGCTCCTAAAAAGGAAAGTAAACATAGAGCCATGTGTAACAGTATATTAGATCCATGCATGAGGTCTTATGCATGCATGAGACTGAGCAGCCTAAATAAACCTGATGCTGTCTTTCATTATACAGTGAAGACTATCCAGTGTTATTTTACCGTTGAATATATTATAGTTAGACCTAACTGAAAAAAATGTAAGTACTGTTAATTTAATTTGTATCTTGTTATTGTTTTTGTTTGTGCTATTGATTGTTATTAATTTATTTGTTCTTATTTTATTATTTACTATTTACTTAAGAAATTAATTAAATTGTCCCATTTCACACAGCAACTTACAGTAGGGTCTCGAATACTGTCTGTTTACAGGACTCACAACTGCATTCATCATGTCATACAGTGGTCTTCCGCACAAATGCTCCGCATCTACCATGTGCTGCGTGTTTTCATGTGTGGTTTCAGTAACTTACATTGACAGAGAAATGAGCTGTGTTTCATCTGAATTTTTTTTATCCAGTCTCCAACGGAGCCGCTCCCATCAGATTTGTGTTCTGCGCACGACTCAAATGCTCTGCTCTACACCCAAATATAAAAGCTGCTGTTGGTTAATAAGGGTTTGATGGATGAACTCCTGGCTCGTTTGGATTCTTGTTGTGTCAAAAAGTGATAGGTCTTTCAGTTTTATAGACGTCGACATCTTTGATATTACTTTGGTCACTGTTGCTATGGTTACTGGTAAGGAATACAGGCTTGACTCCCCTTGCATGTTCATACAGACAGTATTCAAGACCCTACTGTAAGCTGCTGTGTGAATGGGACATTTCAAGACTCACACCTGTAAGTAAATGTGGTTTTCATTCCCAAAACCTGACAGTGTGAACATAGCTCTAGTTGTCCAGTTCAAAGAATGCAGTTGTGACTTGTGAGTCCTGAAAATTTACAAGTGTGAGTTCGGTTACAGAATGTGTGTGAACATAACCGTATTAAGGACTCAAATACAGGACTGACAACTGTATTCTGCTGCTGTGTGAACGTGGCCTGTATATATATATATATATATATATATAGCTGTTGGGTATTGCATAGCTGAAATTTTGGTTTTTGCCTCTGTAATAGGAAGGTAGATGGGCAGACCATATGTGTGAGATGGAGCGTGGCTATATCTGCAAAAGGAAATCATCTAGCAAGCCTAATGGCACCCCAGAGATTGTCAGTCCTGGATGCCTAGCTGTGAGTCTACTGTACATTATACTCCATGTTTTAATTTTTAATAAACAAAAGAGAAAATAAAATATCAAAAATATATGAATCAATCAATCAATCAATCAATCAATCAATCAATCAATCAATCCATCTGTCCATCCTTCCATCATTATTTGGATATGTGCTTCAGTCTTCTGCTATCTTAATAGCATGAAATCTTAAATACATGAACTACATTGTCACAACATTTTGTTACTTTATCACAAGTCAGGACCTCAGCATATGTGATTAATTGTCAAAATTATTAATAATTTAATATCCACAGTCTGTTTCAAAAATACCCAAACAATCTTTATTTCTAATGGTACAAGATGTATGAGGAATTGTCATTGTGATTAAGTCATATCTGTCTGGCTCCCATAGGGTTGGGTTAGGTACGGCTCTTACTGTTATATTATTGCCATGGAAAGCAAGTCTTTTAATGAGGCCAAACTGAAATGTGAGCAGACAGGAGCTCGTTTGGTTGATGTTGCCAACAGGTAATGCAGATTATATTTGTAGGTAATCATATAGGGTACAACTGAACTAAAGGTACACCTCATAGAAAAATGTGTTTTTCACTACTCCCATAGTGTATGACTGCAGAAAATATAGATATGTTTTTAAGACACATTGATAGAGCAACACATGTGGGCAAATAAATCATAAAAATGGGTTATTTAATTAAAAAATATTTTGTATTTACCTGCTTTGGAAACATTACAGTAAACTGCTATTAGAAATAAAAGAAGCGAACCTGGACTGAACTAAAGGTACACCTCATAGAAAAATGTGTTTTTCACTACTCCCATAGTGTATGACTGCAGAAAATATAGATATGTTTTTAAGACACATTGATAGAGCAACACATGTGGGCAAATAAATCATAAAAATGGGTTATTTAATTTAAAAATATTTTGTATTTACCTGCTTTGGAAACATTACAGTAAACACTGCTATTAGAAATAAAAGAAGCGAACCTGGAAAAAGACTTGAAGATTTGGGGACAAAAACAAGAGATTGTTAGTGAATTCCAGGAAATTATTTATGGGATATATATTATAAATTAAATCTATAATATTTTACCCGGGTGCGCCTTTAGCCCTGCTGTACCCTGCTATTCATTATAGATATGCAATTGCCAGTGATTTATTGTGCAGTTCAGAACATTATTTGTTTAGTGCCTGTTTTTTGTTTGTTTGTTTTTCTTCCTTTGCTTGAATTTGTTTGTTTTGATTCACTTTTTGGATTTAATGCATTCCTGTTTTTCTATATTAAGGATTTTTCTAGACTACTTTAATTGTGCATAATACAAATAATCTCTGTTCATGTGGCATTATTATATTCGTCTTTGTTTACTTTAGTAAACACTTTTAATTACTGTCTGTATGCATACATTTATATAACATTCTTAAATGCTGTGTCTTTAATTAGGTATGAGAATGCTTTTCTCATTAGCTTGGTCGGTCTTAGGCCTGAGAAGTATTTCTGGATTGGCCTAACTAATACTGAACGACTTGAGCGCTTCCAGTGGAGTAATGGTGATAAAGTCAAATTTACACACTTTAATGTTGGCATGCCAGGTATGTTGATTAGTAATAACAGTTTTTATGAAACTTTGAAATTTTTGAATTGTAAATAGTAGGTATAATGCTTTGATTGTGTAACATGAAATCATGTCTGAATCTACCTGAATCCAAATCTAATTTTTGTTCTTTTGTCTTTTCACTTTGTAGAAAGGCACAGCGGTTGTGTTGCCATGTTAACAGGAACTTCAGCAGGATTATGGGATGTACTGGACTGTAACAGTAAACAGAAATACATCTGTAAAAAAATGGCAGAGGGTGTTACTACCACGCAAGTGCCCCCAACAACACAGCCTCTCAGCTGTCCAGCTGAGTGGACTAAAAAAGATCCAGGCAATTGTATTCAGGTGAATGTGCACAAATACATTCCTTCCTGAAAGAGTAACATGTAACACTCATACCAGAGGTTGGTTTAACAAGAAATGTTCTGCCATACACCAAACTTAATTTTCAGATATTTATAAATTTTGTCCATTATTTATAATCTGCTTAGTGGTTAAATTGAACATAATAGTAATTCAAAGTGCGTTATATAAACTGCACAAGTGTGCAATTACATAAGAAACAACAACAGAGTGTCTTTTAAATCCCTCTTTTGTGCTGAACTACTTCCACTGTGGATTCAAATCTCAGTTTGTCAGTTTAACAGCTGAGCACAAGCCTCCCTTACTAATTCCAAAACGTCACTTTAGAACTAGTAACAAAGGAACGTTGAGTTGCTTAATTGAAAGCTAATTGCATTACTGCAGTAAAAGCTCACTGTATTATGTAGAGTATTATGAGAGAGAGAGAGCAAGTGTGATTACCTGCATCTGATACAACATTCATTCTTCTGCTCAGTCTCGTATCCACAATAAACATTAGTTTGAATGTCTGCTGAGGAAAGCGTTCGTTGTAATGTTAATATCATTCCTTTCATCTGTTAAGGGTGATTTTGCTGCTCAGTGCATTTGTGCACTGCCTCAAGCTGTTGTTGAAACTAAAAATAACTTCCGTTTATAGCCTTTATAACTTTTCAATGTAAAAGTCTTTACTGCTGACTCACTCATAAAAACATTCTCTTGTCACCATCTAATGGTGAAACAATGTAACTACAATTACCATCACGAACACGCACCGTTTCTCAATACTAAACACTTATTAAATATATTATTTATATAAAATATTGTTTATATAAAATATTATTTATTGAATAATATTTAATAAACAACAACAGCCAAGTAGCTAGGCAATTCAGTCAAAAGTACAAAGGTTGCGCTCTGATATACAGCATTGAATTTATAAATATATTATTTATATAAAATAGTATTTATTGAATAATAATATTTAATAAACAATAGCAACAGCCATCAATAAAGCTGCAAGCAGCGTTGAAAGGGCCCTCACACCCGGGCTCACCACCACCCAGTGGCTTAAGGAAAACGGTGAACGGTGAGCAATATGCATTTAAAGTGTTAAATATAGGAGTAATATGTCAAAGTAATTTATATGTGCCAAACTTCCTGCTGCCAGCTGGTGGTGCGTTGACTATAACTGGATATTGGCATGTAGATGTCTTCAGGCCAGCACTTTTATCAAACATATGAAGTTTGGTGCAGATTGAACATGGTATGTTTGAGTTAGTGTAAAACAAGTTATTTCATGTTGCCAGCAGGTGGCGCTATGATTGTAACTGAATATTGGCCTTTAGATGTGTTCAGGCCAGGATTCTTATCGAATGTGTGAAGTTTGGGGCAGATCGGACATTGTATGGCTGAACTACAACACGTTCTATGCCCATGGCGAAATGTCGAACTTGGTCAGGCCGCCACGGACACACACTTTAACGAAAACTCAAGATCTCCACAATTTAACATTGCAAAGGCCTTTAGATTAGACTGACCAAATATAATGTTGATGTCATTAAATCTGTATGAGGAGTTCGTTAGAGCGTAAAACATGCCACTTCCTGTTGCCAGCAGGTGGCGCTATGGCTATAACTGAATATGGTTATGGGCATGTGTTCAGGACAGGACTCTTATCAAACATATTCATTTTGGTGCAGATCGGACTGTATGCCTGAATTATAACAACTTTCGTTTTCATGGCAAAACATCGAAGTTTGTCAGGCCGCCATGGACACACCCTTCAACGAACACTCAAGATCTTCGCAATTTAATGTCACAAAGGGCTTTAGATTACACTGACCAAATTTGGTGTTGATTTGTTTAAATCTCTAGAAGGAGTTCGTTTAAATACAACGCCTGAGAATGGCAAAAACGGCACAAAACTTGCCAAGAAAATTCTAAATAACAGACTTCCTGTTGGGTTTCGGGCTTCATACCATGGGACTTTTTGTAGGTATTGGTGTCTTACATGTGTCTACCAAATTTTGTACATGTATGTGAAACATAGCTCGAGGGGCACTTCGTTGAAATTTTATAGGTGGCGCTATTGAGCCATTTTGCCACACCCACTTCTGAAACCCATATCAGATGTACATTTTCACCACTTTTGGCATGTGTGCAAAATTTCATGAGTTTTCGAGCATATTTAGGCCCTCAAAAATGCGATTCATTTTGGAGAAGAAGAAGAATCTGAACAATTCTAATAGGGTCCTCACACCACCGTTGCTCGGGCCCTAATAAAAGTTGCTAGGAAATTAATTCAAAAGTACAAAGGCAGCACTCTGATATACAGCATTGAATTTACATAAACATGAGATTTTGCCAAAACTATCTTCTCTAGAACAAACGTCTCGGTTACTTACGTAACCCTCATTCCCTGATGGAGGGAACGGAGACTTTATGTTGCGACAACATTATGGTGTTCAACTGGGAGCCCCAATCATCTCTGACTTTAAGAGAAAGGGCCAATGAAATTTGGCTAGTGGATTTTACATACCTGAGCCACTCCCTGTGCATACGGGTATAAATAGGCGACAGGTGCATCCACTCTTAAGGTTTTACGCTGAGGAGCCGAGAACTTGTCCCTGGCCACCAGCGATGGTTCGAGTTTGTGGCAAGGGGACATAACGTCTCTGTTCCCTCCATCAGGGAATGAGGGTTACGTATGTAAGCGAAACATTCCCTATCTGTCGGTCACTACGAGTTATGTCATGACGACATTATGGGGCCCTGGAAAGCGCCACAACCTGAACACCGTCACAACCCCATGACGTAGCCAATGTTGGCAGACGGCCACGTGACAGACAACGCTATGCAAAGGTCGTAACCTTCCCACCGCCCCAGCACAAATTCGCTGACCTTGGTACCCGCAGGGACCACAGGTGAACACATCGCTGCTAGAGATAGCCAAGCTGCTGTTCCTTTCCCCACAGAAATTTCTTAACAGAAGGGATTTCAACCTTCAACGAAAGATTTGCTTCAAGCCTTTCCAATTTGTTGTTACAGCTTAGGCAGAACGATGGGGAAGCGAGCCTTCTGGAGAAGGGCGCAACGGAGACCACACCCTACCCCTAGGGAGGTAACGTGTGAAGATTCTCATATGGACTGACCCAGGCCTGGGGCAGTACTGACCCATGTCTGGGGCAGTACTACATATGGAATGGGTCTCTGGGGAAGGTCCTACCTAAGAGTAGAGATGGAACAACTGCCAGCAGAGACTGACAGAACACTCTGTCAAAGGGAAGACACGGGTTTACCGAGAGGGAAACCTTACCGTGGAAGAAAACACATATGGGATTGCCCGCAGGGAATCAAGCCATATGGACACCTAGCCCAGTACAGGGGCTGACCGGAGACCCGGTCAAGCTAACACCGATACTGGGCCTGGAGAATACTCAACCAGGGTTCGCCGTCCGGGGAATTTACTGGAGGAGGAGAAAGGCGCTCGCATCCCCGGGTGAGGGGGAATGGCACAGCAAGCGTGACACCGGCCAGCTCTTCTCGCCTGTTACCCAACACATGGGAAGAAACTGGCTCAACGCGGAGACTGTAGAATCTCGCGAAGGTGTTCGGTGTTGCCCAGCCCACAGCTCTACAGATGTCTGCCAGAGAGGCGCCGTGCGCCAGCGCATAGGGGGAGGCAATACTTCTTGTGGAGTGAGCCCTCACCCCCAGGGGGCACGGCTCGCCTTGGGATTGGTACGCCAGGGCGATGGCATCCACTATCCAGTGGGCCAACCTCTGCTTGGAGACAGCCTTCCCTTTCTGCTGACCTCCGTAGCAGACAAAGAGCTGCTCAGAGCTTCTAAAGCTCCAGGTGCGGTCCACGTATATGCGCAGTGCTCTTACGGGACACAGCAACATAAGGGCTGGATTTGCCTCCTCCGAGGGCAGTGCTTGCAGGTTCACCACCTGATCTCGGAAGGGAGTGGTGGGAACCTTAGGCACGTATCCAGGCCGGGGTCTCAGGACCACGTGAGAGTAGGCCGGCCCGAACACAAGGCACTCTTCGCTCACCGAAAATGCTTGGAGGTCCCCAACCGTCTTGATGGAAGTGAGCGCGGTCAGGAGCGCTGTCTTAGCAGACAGGAACTTAAGCTCGACTGAATCCAGCGGCTCAAAAGGACCCCTCTGAAGTCCCGCCAGGATGATAGAGAGGTCCCAGGAGGGCACCAGGGGTGGCCTAGGAGGATTTAACCTTCTGGCACCCCTCAGGAACCTGACGATGAGATCGTGCTTTCCTAGGGACCGGCCATCCACTGCATCGTGATGTGCTGCGATGGCAGCCACATACACCTTCAAGGTGGAGGGTGACAGCTTATGCTCCAACCTTTCTTGCAGGAAAGAAAGCACTACTCCAATCGTGCATCTTTGGTGGTCTTCTCTGCGAGAAGAACACCAGTTCGCGAACAGATTCCATTTCAGAGCATAGGCTTTCCTCGTAGAGGGAGCTCTAGCCTGAGTGATCGTGTTAACCACCGCAGGTGACAGATCAGTTAAGTCTGCCGCGTCCTGTCGAGAAGCCACACGTGGAGGCTCCAAAGGTCTGGACGCGGGTGCCAAATGGTGCCGAGCCCCTGAGAGAGCAAGTCCTGTCTCAGGGGGATGCGCCAGGGAGGGGCTGTCGCGAGGAGCATGAGTTCTGTAAACCAGGTCCTGGTGGGCCAGAAAGGCGCAACCAGTAGGTTGCCAGTACGTCCTCCCTGACCTTGCACAGTGTCTGTGCGAGAAGGCTCACTGTG